TAAGTTAGGAAAAGGCCCGAGCTGGTCATTTGCTAGAGTGGCAAGCACTGGCCCCTTAGTTCAGAAAAAAATATCAGATTTCATGCTTCAAGTCTGATCATTTTGCAGCTTTCCTGAGAGCTACGTTTACTTACAGCTATAGGCATACAAATACATGTGCCATACAATAATCCAGCTTGGAAATCCCAATGGAGCAAAGTATTTAACTCTGAAAAATATTTGGAGTAACTTCTTTGCAATGTATAGTGCAGCAAGAGTTTAAGAAACAATCTCACTGTATTTAAACAGTCATTACTGCTTTCTGGGTAAATAACACATGTTTTTAAAATGGTCTGGATACACAATAGACGCTAACACAATAAATCCTAATTGCTCTGAAGGACCCATTAGGGTGTATCAGGTCAATACATGGCGGAGCTTTTTTGAAAGTCACTCACCCTGTTGTTACATAAGCCACAAATTGAAAGTCCATAAATAAGTATTTGCCAAATGAAGAGTGAGGGCTTTGCCAGGGCCATACTAATTTATCATGTCAACTTCACTATGGAGACTGTTTTCTTTTGAGAGAAAAAGAAAAGAAAAGAAAAAGCATAATGTGCTGTGTTTCAAAAACTACATATCTGAAAAGTTTCAGATGTTTCAGGCTGCACTATACCCCCCAAGAAAATTAGATGTAAGGAACTTCACTGCTTCCTCTTTATCTCAGTGTTGTGAGTCACAGCAAGGAGATATGAAGACCAGCCGTGGCTGTGGTATGGCAGAGGCCCATCCTCATCACCACCAACCCTCCTGCAGCTCTGGGCCAGGGCCCTGATCCTGCCTCTGCATGCTGTGGGTAATGGCACCTCAGGACAGGAACATCCCTTCAGTATTCCAACTGTGGCTCATGGGAAGGTTCCCAGTGCCTGGGGAGACCAAAGAAAGCTTATTACGTACATTTTGTGTGCACTCATATGTACAAATATAGTTAATTAATAAGTGATGAGTTTGGCAATATTAGTTTTATGTGCAGCCACTCTTCCTGATTTTACTTTGGTCTTACTTACCTGAACTTTTGGTGGCATTTTACAAACTGCAGCACTTGTTAGGTGTTGCTAAAGTCTGTGTCACTGTTAGAAATCAAGTTTTGGATTAATTCACTTAGAAGCTTTCAAATTCTATTTAACTTTTTGGGTATGGCTACAGTTTGGCATGGTTTTGTTTTCCTGCAATATGTTAAGGTGTGTAATTGCACAGGTATATATAAAAACAAATTGTATTGATGTAAGCTAGGATTTTTAAGGGAATTTCAGTAAGACATGGTGAAAAGCATTCAAGTGATTTAAATTTGAATTCCTTTCCCCAGGCCACAGCCTTTACTTCATCTGGGCACAGGAGAAATGTTCACCCCTGCTGCTGTTGCACTTCAGTAGGATTTGTGTGCCAGGGTCCCTCTGCAAATGCTGGCAGCAATTCTCACTCCACTCTGCCTGCTTGCAAAGGGCCAAGAGTCCCTGTGTCTCTCTGCCTGTCAGGTCCCTCCTGCGTGCAGTCCAGCAAGAACCTTGGTCTTATTTAGGAGTCCCCCATTCCAGGTGCTGTTACATGAGGTCAGTCTTGGTGCTGGGGTTTGCAGCACAGGCAGCTCTCAGGTGGGAAGGCGAACACTTGCCATGGGTGGAAGCAGAAGCATACCAGCCTTGGTGCAGCTGTGTCCTCAGTGTGGGGCAAACACTGATATCCTTTTGTACCACTACACAGTGGTCTGCTGTGCTGGTGCTGCCTGGGGGCTGCACCGTGATGCCAAAAGGAATGTCTGTCCCTGCACTCATGACAGGCAGTAAGGCAAGTCTTGTGCTGCTGCGAACCACCTTATGGTCCCCAGCGCCTCCTCACTCAAGCAGTTTGTTATCAGGATTTGGGCAATGCCTGAGCCAGCACAGCCTCCAGCTGGGGTGACTGGCAGGCTGCCCACCAGCACCAGGAAACCAGAGTCACTTGTGCTAGGCCCCCACTGCTCCCTTCCTGGGAGCTGGAGACTTGTCAGCAGTGCAGACAAAACCAGGATTTGCTGCTTCAAGCGAGAAGGGTTGAGGGCCAAGGGGTGGTGTGCTGATCCTCTGACAAGAGGGGCAGGAGGTTCCTGCCCTGCTTTGGTGCCGGCAAAGCCAAGAGTGAGATCAGTGCTCTTTGGCTTTGTCCCTGCCCAAAGCCTGGGCTGAAAAGCTCTTTGCAAAAGTCTGCTGAGTCCTTTAACAAGGGCAAGGGCAATAGCCAGTCTTTACAAAGGAAACTCACTTAGTCCTTTTCTAAAGTCTTTTAAAAGTCATGGTATCCTTCACAAAAGCAAGTTGTGCGCGTAAACAGTGTACACTGACAGTCAGCAGTGAGAGAAATAAACACAGAAATATTTATAATCTTTTTACTTTCTGCTTCTACCAGGAACCACTGCATGCCAGCTGAAAATGCCTCAGTGGGTGGAAGGTATGTCTGTAAGGACACGTTTTGTCAGTCCATGCCTGAATCCTCTGGGCTGGAGCCAGGAGCAGGGGTTAGATGAGTTCCCAAGAAGACCTGTCTAGCATGGTGGAGCTTAATGGACACTTCTGCACACGGATAAAAGGTAAAGTGATTTTTAATAACTTAAGAGTTTTTTAACTATAAAAGCATTTTCTTAGGGCCAGGAAACACTTCGTTTTGTCTGCAGTAAATTTTGTGCAGACATATCTTCTGTTACTAATAGTGTTGGATGCACATAAAGCACTCTACTCTCATACTGTGCTGAAGAGATGAGTAACGAACCTATCAACTGCACTTGCACTTACCCCATATTTAATCTTGCTCTGGTTGTTCTGCTACATATTGATAAAAAACGAAAAGGAAACAGAAGCACAGAGCAAGCCAACAGATGTCTACCTGGCTCTTAATTGGATTTTATGTGTCCCCAGTGTAGCAGATACAGCATTATTTACAGCCAGGCTCTAAGAATTAGATACATCTGGAGGAGTGGCAAAACCTGAACCAGGCTACAAGAGTTGACAGATTAACTGAAATGAAGAGCTGCCCCATTTTCCCCTTCTTATCTTCTCTCTTCCCACTTATGTACCCATTCCCCATTGTGTGTCAAATCAAACTAAGACATTGCCCAGGAGAATGCTTATAAAAATGAAAAATGCCAACAAAAAAGACAATTTCTGCTCTTATGGAGCTTCATCAGCATTTTCTAATTGTACATCAATGATGATAATAAAAAGGCTACCCTCTTCTCTCAGCTGTAATTTGGATAATCAACTGACAGCCATAATGAAACTGTCTGTGATTGCTTTCTGCTGGGCTGCTAGTTCACAGAAACTCATTGTTAAGGAGAATTAAAAGTTATGACTCCTGCTGCAAGGATATGCCACTATTTTCCAAAGGAACATGTGACTTATAATTTTCTTCTATATAGCTCTATTACAGGGAAAACTTACAGTGTAAAGCAAAGAAGTATAAGGATGTGAGATTTTTTTTTCCTTTTTAAAAAAAAACGTTGTTAAGCATAAAATTTGACAGTGCCAAGTAATATGCATGCCTAGGCTGGGTGGATGTGGATTTCAGGGGTGGTCGTGAGGTCTCTTAAAATGACTGATGACCTTGGTTATCAGCAGTCAGTGCTCTGCCCCTGGTTACATCAGCCACTGGCCTCAGAGCAGTAAGCAAGCCAGGTTTTACTTCTGGGAGGAAGGCAAGAATAAGTCATGCTTTGAGTATTTGCTTTGTGGGCTCTGGGTACAGTTAAGGGGTATTTTGGGTGCTGGTGTTCCCCAGCACCAGGCCTTGAATGCAAGCTATTTGTATCTGTGATGTGCAGTGGTTATGTCTTGAGTAGTAGATCCAGGGCTGGATGCAAGTACTCTGGTCTAAATTGTCCTTCTATCCACATCCACTGAGGTGGAGCGAGTAGCTCCTGTGCAAGGGCTTGGGAGCAGCCTTCTGCCTTGGTTGGAATAAGGCTCTGCCATAGCAGCTGCTGTCTGGACCCCCGAATCTGGCTTCTGAAGCAGGTCTGTTCCTCTGTGTTCCCTGAACATGCCCTGGGCTTCAGGACTTTCAGGGAAGCGCTTGAAAATCAGGCTGGCAATTCGGTGTTTACGAATGCATGGACTGGAGGGTTGGAATTCGTGGCAGCTGAGCATGACCACCTCGGTGGCTCTGGCAAGAGCCCGCGGTCCCAGGGTGCTGGGCAGAGCCCTCTGCCACAGCACGGTCTCATCGGTGGCTGCAGCGCCTGCCACCCGCCTGGGAGGGAAGAAAAGGGCTGGCCGGAGCGGATGGCGACCGCAATCCGGGGCAGGAATGTGGTAGCGCAGCTGCCTGCACCCGGGCAGGGGCGGCTTTTCTTCCTGCCGAGTTCAGCGTACCGGGAGTCGGGAGTCGTACCGGTAGATGCTACTGTGCCCCTTGTACCCGGGCTGATGTGCCAGGGCCGGAGCAAGGCAAAGCCGGCCAGGACCCCTTCACGTCTTCCCTTCCCCTACCCAGGGTTTCCCCCGTTTGTCCCAACTCCGAGAAGAGGGGCTGAAGGGATCGAGGAGGAAAAGGAGAAGCGGCAGCAGCACCGCGGGCACCGCCTGCCCTCCTCCTCCAGCCGCTCGGCTCTTCGCGCCGAGCCGGGGTAGCCGGGTCCCGGGAGGGGCCCGGCGGGCAAGAGGGGAAGGCGATGCACAGATGCGGAGCAGTCGGTGGCTTGGCAGCACCGTCATTTTCTCACTCGCCCCTGTCCCCGGCCCGCCGCGGGACTCCGAGCGCCGGCGGCCGGGGGCCGAGCGGGACGGCCGCAGCCGCGGGGCCCGGGGCAGCGCGGCTCTCCGCTGGCTGCCCGGCGCGGGGGCGGCGCGGGGAGCCCCGGCGGGGCGGGACCAGCGGCGGGGCGGGCCCGGGGCGGGCCCGGGGCGGGGCGCGGGCGCGGCGCGGAGAGGGGGCGCCCGCCCGCCCCAGAGCGCAGGTGGCGGCGGCGGCGGCGGTCCGGATCCCGCTCTCGCTGCCGGCGGGGCCCCGCTCCCGGTGCGGAGGCGGCAGGTGCCCGGGACATGCGGCGGCGGTAGGACGCGCGGCGGCGATGGGCGGCCGGGGGCTGCCGCTGCTGCTGGGGCTGCCGCTGCTGCTGGGGCTGCCGGCGGCGGGGCGCGCCGCCTCCAAGGCGCTGGTGTGCCAGGAGATCACGGTGCCGATGTGCAAGGGCATCGGCTACAACCTCACCTACATGCCCAACCAGTTCAACCACGACACGCAGGACGAGGCTGGGCTAGAGGTGCACCAGTTTTGGCCGCTGGTGGAGATCCAGTGCTCCCCGGACCTGCGCTTCTTCCTCTGCAGCATGTACACCCCCATCTGCCTGTCCGACTATACGAAGCCGCTGCCCCCCTGCCGCTCCGTCTGCGAGCGGGCCAAGGCCGGCTGCTCGCCCATCATGCAGCAGTACGGCTTTGCTTGGCCCGAGAGGATGAGCTGTGACAGCCTGCCGGTGCTGGGGGACACCGAGGTGCTTTGCATGGGATACAACCACACGGAAGCCACTACCCTGCCGCCTTTCTTTGGGAAGCCCACACGCCCTGCCAAGGACATGGCCAAAAACCTGACGCCACTCGATGGGCAGCGCCTCTCAGGGCTGGACTGTGGTCAGACTTGCAAGTGCAGAGCGCCCCTGATCCCCATCTCCAAGGAGTCCCATCCACTGTACAACCGCATCAGGACTGGGAAGGTACTCAACTGTGCCATCCCCTGCTACCAGCCCTACTTCACCCAGGATGAGAAGACCTTCACTACCTTCTGGATCGGCCTCTGGTCCATCCTCTGCTTCCTCTCCACCTCAACCACCGTGGCCACCTTCCTCATTGACATGGAGCGCTTCAAGTACCCTGAGCGCCCCATCATCTTCCTCTCTGCCTGCTACCTCTTCGTCTCCATGGGCTACATCGTGCGGCTGGTGGCAGGGCATGCCAGCGTGGCTTGCAACCCGGAGCACCATCACATCCATTACGAGACCACGGGCCCTGCTCTCTGCACCGTGGTTTTCCTTCTCCTCTACTTCTTCGGTATGGCCAGCTCCATCTGGTGGGTCATCCTGTCCCTCACCTGGTTCCTGGCAGCTGGCATGAAGTGGGGCAATGAGGCCATTGCCAGCTATTCGCAGTACTTCCACCTGGCTGCCTGGCTCATCCCCAGTGCCAAATCCATTGCTGTACTGGCACTGAGCTCTGTGGACGGTGACCCGGTGGCCGGGGTTTGCTATGTGGGCAACCAGAGCCTGGAGAATCTGCGGGGCTTTGTGCTGGCACCACTTGTAGTTTATCTCTTCACCGGGAGCCTCTTCCTGCTGGCCGGCTTCGTCTCGCTCTTTCGCATCCGCAGCGTGATCAAGCAGGGCGGCACCAAAACTGACAAGCTGGAGAAGCTGATGATCCGCATCGGCATCTTCACCGTGCTTTACACTGTGCCTGCCACCATCGTCATTGCCTGCTACATCTACGAGCAGCACAACCGAGAGGCCTGGGAGCAGGCACAGAACTGCTCCTGCCTGGGGGACCCTCACCGCCCCAAGCCTGACTATGCTGTCTTCATGCTTAAGTACTTCATGTGCCTTGTGGTGGGGATCACCTCTGGTGTTTGGATCTGGTCTGGCAAGACACTCGAGTCCTGGAGGCGCTTCACCACCCGCTGCTGCCGGGCCAGGAAGCCTGCGGGTGCCTCTGTGTACGGTGAGGCCAGCCCAGCACTGGTGGGCAGGATGGTACTGCCCAGTATGGCCTCCTACCACAAGCAGGTCCCACTGTCCCATGTGTGACCAGAGGGAGCTTCGGTGACCCCAGCCACAGGGAGGAGAGGGTTGCGAAGACCCTGGGCCACAGAAGAGGGGGTGACAGCTGGGCTACCCCTGGCATCTTCATCCCCACCATGGTGGTGCTGCCTGGGACCACGGGCACAGAGCAGCTGCAGCCCCAGGCAGGGCAGGAGGAGGTGCTGCTGACTATGTCGGGGCAGAGGGATGGGGAGGTCTGGAGCCTGGCACTGCTGTGTATGCCCCATTTGGAGTCCCACATCCTGGTTGGAGTCCTGGGATGCTGCTGCCTGTGGGCCCGTCGGGTGGAAGTAGGCTCTCAAGCACTGATTTGTGTTCCTCAGTGAGCCTCTGGGCAGGTCTTGCTGGTGCTGGGGTGAAAGGCAGAGCTGTAGCAGGCAGGGCAGATGGTGGCCTCCAACCCCAGGTGGGGGCTGGCACTGCCGCTGAGCCCCTCACTAAAGCCCAGAGAGTGGTCAGGGGGAGGTGGCAGGGGGGTGCTGCTTCCCTGGGTGCCCTGGGCAGAGCAGGAGACTGCCCTCAGTGCCCCCAGAGCCCCCAGGCACAGCTGCATATTGAGGAGGAGAAGCCTGGGGGCCCTGGTGTGAGGCAGCCGCGTGCCCTGCTCAGGCAGCAGCACATTGAGCAGGGAGAGGAGCTGTGCAGGCCGGGGGCTTCATGGGTGGTGGCAGTGCAGGAGGAAGGGGCCGTGGAGAGGATCTGCCACAGGGGCAGGGTCCCAGCTGTCTGCAGCGCAGACAGGGACCAGGTGATCCCCTGCGGTCCCTTCTGCCCTGGGCAAGCACATCCAGCTCGCTTCAGTCAGGGGCTCAGGGCCGGGCAGGAGCCAGCTGCACTGCCCATGGAGCCACTTGGCCTGGGGACTGCACGAGGGGCTGTGTGGGTGGGGAGCCTGCCGGCCCAGCACGGGTTTGCAAGGAGTCCTGGCCCCAAGAGCGGGCTCTTCTGAGCTGCCCCGTGTCCTGCCCGCCAGCTGTGGCATGTGGCACAGCAGCTGAGTGCAGCACAACCAGCCCTAAAAGGGTGGGTGCACCCCTGCAGTGAGCAGTGACTGCACAGGGGTGTCCCAGCCAGGTGGCAGGCTGTCTCTCCAGAGCAGCAGCTGGGTTTTCCGGTCAGTCGGCTTCAATACTTGTTGCTGCTTTTTTCAAAGCTGTGCCTCTGCTGAGAGAGTACCAGGTTTGAGATGGAGCAGTTAATTTAGGAAAACTTAGCTGAGCACTCACACCTTTTTTCCTCCAACTTCCCAAGCCTTTTTCACTTCCCTGGATCAGACAGCAGCTGAGCACTGACAAAACCATTGCCTGGCATTAAGCAGTGGTGACAGCTGAGTTTCAGTAAGTAGAATATGGTGGGGGGGGGGCCTGTTGTCAAAGTCACTAAATGCAGCCAGGGCAAGGGGCTCCAGCTGTGGTGCAGGATGAGGCTGGCTGCCTCTGTCCACTTGTAAAAGCACCTGAGTATTAAGGGGTTTTTTTTCTGCCTGCCCTAAGCAGTGGTGATGTATGTAACTATCCAGCCATTACTGGAGTCCTTTTTGCCCTTCATCAAGCGTGGCACTGTGACCCAGCTGTTCAAGCACTGGAGAACAACTGCTGGCTTTGCTCCTGCAGGACTGCAAGGATCTGAGGTTGATCTTAACACCTTTGGACCACTTCAGTCAAAAAGTTTTCCACCTCATTTTAAAACCAAAACCTGGGAAGCGAGGGAACTCTCAAGTGGCACATCTCTGGATAAAGGTACTGCATGAGTGTCTCTGGGGAGTCCTGGATAGAGGAGATAGAGGTGCAAGGATGGAAGGCTCACCAGGGGCTGTTCAGCTGCACCCATCCACACTCTTGCAATAGGGCTCACCCCCTCCAGCAGGTTGGAGTACTTTATTGTGGACAGAATTGCACCATATTGTGTTACACACTGTAAATAGTTGTATTATAGCCTAATTTGTACATAAAGGAGCTGTAGTGACCTTTGATACAGGTTAGGGACAGGTGTGTTCTCAGCAATGAGGCAGGTCAGGTGCAGGGACACTGTGGGTAGTCTCGTGCTGTAATCCAGGGCATTAAATTATTCCAGCCTCCTCCAGTCCGCACCTTGCTGGACTCCTCTCTCTCTATAGTGCCTTTTGTAGATACAGCTAAACACACATCATGCAATACAATGAACAAAACCATGTCAAAGGTGGTATTTTGCTGTTTTTGTTTTTTCCAAAGTGCAACTGACTGTGTAAAGATATCCAAGATTAGCTACAAACCGTTGCCTATTGAAAAACGCAAAAGAATTTTCAGCTTTGATGTGATGGTAGGGTAATACAATCAACTCGTATTTGAGCCTGGCTTCTCAGCAACAAGTGGCAGTAGGGGGTAAGGAGCCGTTGCCGTGTGCCCTGTCTGCTGTAGCCAATTTATATGTTGGGTTTTGCCTCTTCCATTACCGATGCTGTTCAATGTTGCTTAAATTACTGTACTATATTATGTGAAAAGATGAAGAAATTTTATTCAAAGAGAAGTATCAAGATTAGTTATTTATGAGGATAAAAAATAGTGTGTGTTGTTTTCTTTACTTCTGCTTCTGTCAGAGTGTTTATTACCTTAAAAGTTTACCTGCTGGGGGAGGGGGAGGTGTGTGCTGGAAGGCCAAACAGGGCTCTTATCACTGGGGATCGTGGGGAACTGGTGAGGCAACTGCACTTGCGTGGCGCAGGAATAGCATGTTCCATGTGCACGAACCCCACGCAGCGCTGCCTTTGGCATGGAGGATGCCACACATCCGTGCCCTCGGTGCCAGGCTCCACCCTGAGCCAGGCTCTGTGCTCGGGGGCAGCCGTGCTGGCTGTGCCCATGACTGTGCTGACAGCACGTTCCCTGACGGGCCAAGGTCACACCTCACTGCTAAAAGAGGGTTAACTATCAACTTTTATTGGTGTTCTGCAGTTTGCACAGTACGTGTCCCTTACCCTGTGCTGAGATCAGGTCGGGCCCTGAAGAGGTGCACTTGGATACTCCTAAGGCCAAGCAGATGACAGCTCCTAGCCAAGCAGGATGCTGCACACTGGTCCATTTGGGTGGCTGTGCTTCCATCTGCGAGGAGCACTTGGGGAGGGACAGCAAAGGGTTAAGGCTGGCTCCGTGGTGACTAATGGTGCAGGACTCTGCTATCTAGTTAGGTGTGTAGGCACACACCAGGTCCCACCAGATAGGATCTCTTACCTGGAAGCAGCATTCCAGCACCCAGTGATAAACCTGACAGTCCCACAGCCTGACTCACCTGACTCTGCCCCCCATGCTCAAGTACAGGCAAAACACACCATTGGGGCTGATCCTATCGCTTGAAGGGCAGCGGTTTTGGGGTGTGGAGGGGACATGCGCCATTTCAGCACCAGGTTCTTCTCAAGGAGCTGTGGACACTCGCTGCCTGCTCCCGAAGTAACTCCAGCACCTTGCTGGCAGCCCTGTTGTCATTCTTGCCTGCCAGGAAGCTGTTGTGTCCTCAGCGCCTCGGTAAACTGGAGTTTGGCAGCACTGCCATCCACCGCCTACCTCAAGCCACTGTTCCTGAGCAAGGGAAGGGCCTTTCCTGCAGGCAGTGAGAATCGCCTGCAGGACTGTGTCCCTGTGAGCACACACCTGATCCCACACACCTGGCCCAATGCTTGTGCTCTCCAGGTTCTACTTGGTCAACTTAAGCCACCCTCGAGGCACTCACCAGCTTCCCTGGGGCTGAAGGGTGCAAATGCAGCACAAGTTCAGGCTGGGTGGCATGGGGAATGACAGTGTCTGATGGCATGGGAACCATGTGGCTTTTCAAATGGGTTTTAATATCGATCAGAAGCCAAAGTGGTAATTTCATTGTTGGCAAACAGCTTATTTGGTGCAAGGATAGTTTCCCCATATAATGATATGGAATACCAGTTCTGTGTCATTATCCAGCACAACGGTGCTGTGGGAAATCCCAGGCCAGGATGGAGGCTGCAGCCTGCCCAGTTCTGAGCTGTGAACGGAGTAGCTCACCCTGCCCTGAGCACTCCTGCCAAACTCCTGTGCAAGCTCTTGCCTCAATGGCTCTTCTGTCCAATTCTGCTTGCTCGGGGTATGCTTGACACCTATACTCTTATCCAGGAGCAGTGGTCTTGACATTTATTCCATCCCTCAAGTGCCTGTCCTCTTAACTGCCAAACCCGTACTGAAGTAGTTCTCATAAAATTCCCTTGGGAACAAAATACACAGTCCCTGTACACAAAGGGAAGGGGCTGCTGGAGCTCAAGGGCATCTTGTAGCCCATGAACACCTCCATGGCCTCCTGCCCCTGCTGACTGCTAACACTCGCTGCTCCTGCTAGTCTGGCTGGTGCTCACATCACTCTTGCTGGGCCATAACACAGCTATTGTCTCTGCAAACAGCATTAACTGCCAGATGGGGAGGGCTACCCTGGAACTGAAAGCAGGCAGAGGTCACCTCAACATAGATTAAATATTATTCAGCTATTGGATTAAGTGAAACAAGGTACATTGATCCCATAGTTGCTTTTCCCTGGGAGCAGAGATTGGTAACAGTCTCTGTAATTTCAGTATTCTGACCATGATTGTAATTTTTCTTTTGCCTCTTTGATAAAAGTGTTGCCAGCATATAGAGTAGTGCTAATTGAAGGGTATTACCCCTTCACAGTTCATTGTCCAGCTGAACCACCTCTATGCAATTCTTTCTGAAACATTCTTACTGCCCAGCACTTCAAAAAGGAACTGTATGGTTTACTTTTTATTGTTTAGCTAAGAAATACACTAGCTGTGTTTTCCCTAATCTAACTCTTTTAGGGGTACCAGAATGAATGGTACCCCTAAATGGTAAAAATAATTGCCATTTTTTCCTCCTAAGAAGCTGAGTTGGAGTTCAGGCCTGCTTAGTATCTGCTGAGCAGATCAAAATCCCATTGATAATGTGCTGTGGGCTACAGTAAAACTAAGCCAGCTAATATTCAAAGCAAAATTAGGTTCATAGCAGCTGTCTCCTGCAGGATGCATTGCAGAAGCAGCCATCAGCTTGAGATGTCATTCACCTGCCACCCAGATCAGCAGGAAGAGTCTCCATCTCACCTGGCAAAAAATGGAAACCAGTGGCCCCTGTCTCTTCTGAGCAGCTCACAGTGAGTGGCTGCTTTTGGGCAGCCCCACAGCAGAGTGCACCAGACTGATCCCACACAGCTGAAGGCACCAGCCCTGCTGATGGAAGCAAAGCTCTTTAGCAATTAGGTCACAAGTCAATCCAGGAGCTGGTCACTTGTAGCTTCCAATTTAGTGCTCCTCAAGGGAGGACTTAAAAACCATCAAATTGTCTCCAGAGAGACTAGCCCTACTTAAAGCCCATTGAAGTGCACAGAAACTGGCAGTGAGTGGTTTATTTGAGCAGGCCAAGAGAAGTTCTAAATCCAAAGACCATGTAGGAAGATCTGGGCAGCCATGCAGGGCTGCACCCTGCCCAGGAGTCTGCTGCCTGCTCCCAGACATTTGCCAGCCCATGGGGACTTAATGAAGGGGGAATAGGCTGAATGGTGATAGGGAATGGAGGGGCCTTAACACACATCACTGGGGTTTATATTTTTTTTTTCCTTTTTTGAAGGGCAGTGGAATCCAACAGCTGTACAGAACACATCCTTCACCTTTATCTTTAATTAAAATAGAGTTTATTAGCTTTTCTTTTAATACAAACATGAGAAAGGAAAACCACCTGAAGATGTAGTGTTATTTTCAGTATTGAATTGTGATCAATACCTGAAATGCCAAGTCCCGTGGGTTTGGGAGCCAGGGGCTGGCACATTTGCATACTGCAAAAGGCTGTATGCAGCATTGGAACAGCTGAGTGCAGCCACACTGATGATGGCACTCACACAGCCCCACTCCCAAAGGCAGATGGACTTGTTTGTTCAGTGTAAGTTTCTGGGCCTTGGCCGTAAGAGGAAGTGCACAAAACCCGTGTCACTCGGAGGGAGATCTGCTCCTAGGACACTGCCTAGAACCTATTTGGATCCAAGAAGGGAAGATACTACAAAGACTTGTAACAGGAAGAGTCTATAATAATACTTATCCTGTTTAGAGTTCAGTTTCAGAGCTTGAAAGTAAGCTCTGTTCTAAAGTCTCAGAAAGAGCAAACCCCAAGCCTCTAGAGCAGTTGCACAAGATAAAATTCACTTTGGGAAAAAAAAAAAAAAGTTTACAGAAAGCTTTTTGATAATTCTCAGTTGAACACAATATTTTTCCATCTACCTTGATAGGTAGTCCAGAATTCTCAAACTCATTATTGTCTCATTATGAATGTAACTTCCTTCCAGGAAACCAGGAGGAAGTTTCCTGGAAACTTCCTGGAAGTTTCCTGGATATCCAAGGAGAGCCAGATGGATGCACAATATCAGCTTTAGGAACTCATTGTATATAGCACAAGAGATCTGCAGTAGAACTCAGAGAAGCAGTGCTGCACACACGCCATTCACCACTGGATTGCTACACTGTTTGGGATGGTGATGATGTTTCCAGACCAACTTTTTCATTCAATGCCTCAGAAAAATACACAGATTACATCTCTTCCAGAGCAATATAAGTATTAGAAAATGAGAGAAGCACCATAATTCACAAGAAATGCAGCATGGACCCTATACATTTTAACAATACATAAAACTGTATCTCTGCCCCCAGTCAAAACATTCAAAGTCTTTTGACAATCTTTACTGGAGTGAAGTTGTGGGTGCAGAGATGGAATTCCTTCCTGCTGGGCAGCTTCTTGGTATGAACACATCACCAATAATAGCAGCTTTTAGTAGCCAAACCAGGGAAAAGCCATCAACACAAGTCTATGCTACTCTTTTCAGCTCCAGAGTGGCTTTATACTTTAGGAGTCCCATGTGTTGTTTTTGTTAACACTGCATTGACCTGAAATACAAATGCAGTGAAGACTCTGGATGACAGGGGAGAAGAGGGAAGAACATTGTAACTATAGTCATGTGGTTAGTGTTTAAATTCTAAAATTTAAAACTACTTATTATTAAAAACCTCAAGAGTTCACAGCTATAGGCCTACATAGTAAGCAAACATCTGTGGGGGAGACAAGGAGAGAAGTTTGTTTTTGCACCTCTGGATACATTAGGAGGAGGAGAGAGTTGATTTGACAAAGGTCTTGTCTTTTGCACCAAGTATGTTCCTCAGGCTCTGGGCTCCCTGGGCTGGCTGACTCTCTCACTTCCCCTTGCTGGAAGACACCATCACCGCTGGCTCGTGTGCATGGAGTGGTGGATTCCTCCGGCTCCTGTGGGTGCTGGTTCCTGGTGCTGCACCCTGCTCTCTCCTCAGGAGAGGATGGCATTAGAACGGCGGATACCAACTAAGTTATCAGCACTGAAAGATCGTCTCATAGCAGCTTTTGACAAGTCTTTGTATTTGTCTTCACACAGCCGGGAGATTGCCTGGACACCACAGACAGACACAGAATGAAAAGTCCA